GGTGTTTCTTTTAATGTGATACAGAATTGAATTCACTCACAGATTTTCATTGGATGACCCCAAAAGCAAATTGTTAAAAAGCCTCTCCATTCAGAGGAATATGGTTTCATAAGTAGACAAAGGAGTGCCAACCAGTCAGCTGCATCATTATTAAAAGAACTTTTTCTAAAATGCTAACAATCATCTACGATTTAAAACAGGTGAATCCATCAGATTGTCAAAGGTTTTTAAAAACTGATAAAAATTAATGTTGGCAATTGCATGAGAATAGGGAATGAGCATGAGTAGAAATGCAAATTAGTTTATTCTTTCTGAAGGGCAGACGGGTGGAATGCTTAACAAGAAAAATTAGTATGGATCCTTTGACAGAGAAGTCCAAGTCAGGAATTTTACCTAAGAAATAATCACTCGGCTGGAGGTGCCTTGCTCAGATCCTCAGTGTAGCATTATTTGTATGCAGAAAAATCTGAAGCCAATCAGGTGTCTAATGACAGATTGGTGAAATAAAATTTAATAAATAGAAAGATACAAAAGGTTACTGTACTGCCACTAAAATTCATGTAGTAGATTCAAACTCATTTGCATGGAAAATGGCTTATGAAATATTATGAAGTTAATTAAAGTTATCTGCATAAAAAATATGGTCAGATTTATTCAAGCTTATACATGTATAGGTATATGAACAGAGATCCCTGAAAAAGGTGTTTTGTGAAAAGATACATATCTTTCTTTTCCATTTTGTTATTTTTTTCTTCACTTGACAACAAGAAGAAAACAAACTAATCAAGACACTAAAAATAGGTAAGAATGACTGCTAACTTTTACAAAATTGGAAGAGTAAGAGTGATTATTAAAGCTAGGATTAAGGAAACAAACATTTGGAAAGGTTTTGTACCCTACTTTAAGATATATGTTCCAATTTTCTAATCTAGTTTTTGAAACTGAAATTAACATGGCGTCATGTTTTTAAAAACTGATACATGTCTATAAAGTGAAGTGAAAATTATAATATATAAGGATATATGAATATATTCATGCCACAAGCATATTCTTATTTTACTCAACTGATATTTAGTTGGCAATGGATCTTGGATATACCATTATATAAATATAACATTATTTAACCATCTCATATTACAGATTTTTCTTTTTTTTTTTTTTTTTTTTGTTTGTTTGTTTGTTTGAGACAGGGTCTTGCTATGCAGTTCAAGCTGGCCTTGAACTCACTTTGCAGCTCAGGCTGGTCTCAAACTCACAACAATCCTCCTACCTGAGCCTCCTGAGAACTGAAATTACAGACATGTGCCACCATGCCTGGCTTGTATCATAGATGTTTGTTTCCAAGTTATTGCTAATACTGTATAAAGCAATGCTTATGCAATCTTGATTATATACAAAATTCCTGATAACTTCTTGAATATCATGGGTATGTTTAAATTGTTGATTGTTTTGGAATTTATTTGGGCATAAGGAGTAAGTGAAGAATCCATCTTCAGTTTCTCAGTTTCATTATTTTTCCTCTAAATTAGCCAACTTGTACTGCAATCTTTTCAAACAATCTATCTTTTTACCCAATTATATTATAAAACTGTCAAAACTCTCCAAATTGATACACAGTTCTGTTGTGGTATAAAATACCAGAAAATTGGCAGTGAGTGGGAGGCAAACAAAAACTGTTTTTTGTTTTTTTTTAACCTGGAAAAATCTATATGCAAGAAGAGCTAGTTATACAGAATTGCAGATGTCAGGACAACTCTCCTTCAGAAAGCAACAGAAAAGCTGAGTACTCTACAGAAAGTGAGATGTTTGCAGAATTGACAAGCAGCCGCGACAGCCAGAACTTGAAAGGCCAAGCTACTAAATTAAAACAAACTAAACTGAAATGTTTTGTAGGCAAGAAAAAAATAAAGATAGGAGCAATGAATGAAATGGGATAAGGGCAAAATACCAGAACAATCAACAAAAATGAAGGTGCTCCTTCAAAGCACTATAAATTGGTAAGCTTCCAGTAAGATTTATGAGGAATAAAAAAGAAAAGACAAATTATGCCTAATGATTAGGTGAAAGACATAACTACTGACATTAAAATGTAGGACAAATGTACACTAATAAACATGAACATGCAGAAAAATGACAAGTTCCTTGAAAAAACAGCTTACTAAAATTGACAAAAAAATAATCTGACTAATCATATTTGTATCTATTAAAATTACTATAATCTATAATTTAAAAATTTTCCTATAAAGAAAATTCTTCTAGCAATTTTAGGAAAGAGTTGGAACATGTTTTGGTATACTTAAATATTTCAGGCATGCAAGACTGTCTTAATATTTAAAATTAATGTAACTACATTAAAAGAATAAAAATACTATATGATCATACTAATAGATGAAAAAGTATTTGATAAAAACCAACAATATTCTTGTTTTTTAAAAGTGACTATCTTTAATAGACTAAGAAAAGAAGGGAATTTACATGGGGTTTTTTGTTTGTCTGTTTTGTTAACTAGTACAAGTATGTGAAAGAGTGTATAGTTTTTTTTTGTCTTTTTCATTTTTATCAGTACCGGGAATCGAACTCACGACCGCCTGCTTGCAAGGCAGGTGCTTGCTAAATCCCCAGCCCCAAAGAGTGTATAGTTTTAAATGATGTAATCCCACCTCCAGTCAAATGATTTCTTGGTCTATTTAATTCAAAACTCCAAGGGTAGATTTTTGGTTTTGGAAAGATTGAATACAGGAACTTAAATCTTAGTACAAATATCCAGCTTCTCTCTGAAGACAACCATTTCCCCTGTGATCACAAGATGGCTCCCAACAGCTCCCTGCTCAGCATCCTTCAATTTCTCATCCAGTAAGAATGTGGAAATCTTTGTCCTAGTATTCTTCACAGAGGCCTCACTGAATTTCTTTAACTCCAAATGTGTCACATCCTTTTCCAGACCAAACACATTGCCTAGAGAAATGCACTGATTTGAGTGATTTAGTTTAGTTAGTTTATTTGTTTTTTGGTACCGGGAATCGAACTCACAACCTTGCGCTTGCCAGGCAGGTGCATGGTCCACTGGGCTAAATTCCCGGCCCTGAGTGATTTAGTTTTAAATTACATGCTCCATGTCTGAGCCACCAATGGTATATAGAACAAGGTAGACCCTCCAAAAAAACTGAGGTAAGGTTACTAAGAGAGGCTAAACAGATTCTAGCTACCAAAACATTCTTTCTGAAGTAAAATATACTTGGAAACAGCTCAGGAAAAGCCCTATAAATTTAACTTTGATTTTTTTTAATGTTAAAAACTAGATAGTTGCTGAAGGCTGAAAGTTTCTGTTTCCCTAGAATTCCTAGGCTGATCCTCAGGTAATGCTGTTCAACACTGAAGCTTTCAGGAAGTGGTTAGGTCATGATGGTGGAATCTTCATGAATTAAACTGACGTCCTTATAGAAGAGATCAAAGAAGAAGATCTCTCTCTCCTGTATGTGAAGATATAAGAAGTTGGTGGCCATTTGCAAACTGAAGGCTTTCCCCAGCATTGTATCAGCTGGCATCTTGATCTTGAACTTTCTATATTCCAGAAATATTAGATATGAATTTCTATTGTTTGAGCCACTCTATGATATGTTGTTACAGCAACCTGAGTAAAATAAGATGATGTACAAATCTTGCCTCTGGAAAAGTAAAAATATAACAAGTTTAAAAAAAATCTTCCCTATCCTATTTCTGAGTCTCAAGTTTTCCAGTTTTCTGCAGCTATTTGAGTGACAGTGTTTGTTTTTGTAAGCTGGCCTAAAATGTGGAAAGAGTGCTCAGGATAATTGATGATGTCTGCCATTGCAGAAAGACCATCTTGTACCCAAGGAGCTGTGTCTTTTTTAATCTTTTCTCTCTATTACTGCTTTTAAATAATTTTTCTGACAAGATTCTACTTTTCTTTCTGTCAACTGTCAGTGAACAGGTATTAGGCATTATTTGTGGGGCTGTAAATACATTACACGAAAAAATAGTAAGTCCTTAAAAAGTCAAGAGAATGCCTCCAGAGACATTTACCTAACAATGATTTATGCAGGTCTGGGAATGAAGTTTTAGAAACTTCTAAATGAAAAGTCTGGAACATAAAGTCTCTTCCAAATCTGCCTTTACTGTGGCCTCCAGACACATTTCCCCTTTATTTTTAATATGGAAGTTAGAAAATGTTTTTCATGTTCAATTTAAGTTGTTTAGTTAATGGTCTAAGAATAACTCTTGGAAGAACCTCTCAGCATAGCATGTTATTACTCTATTCTTCTGACTGAATTTGACGTATCTATTGTGCTTTTCCTGAATAAACTGATCTCTGAGATCAATCACTTTCTTTTTACCAGTTAGAAATTGTAGATATTTAATGGATATATGCTCATCAGTCAATTTAATAAGTCTGATTGTCTGGGTTTTGAAATAAACTGATCATTTTAATGTTTAAATACTACATAATCGATGTTCATCTGTATTCCTAGTTTCCAAGTTTTCTTCTTGTCTCTTCTGCCTGCCTGCACAGAGTAATTTAGCTTCAGCTTTAAAAAAAAAAAATTAGTTCTCTGAGACATGAGAACTCAAGTGTATCTACTCAAGCTATGTACAGAAAAGGCTAAATAATATTTGCGTTGTGAATTACAGTATACCTCAAGCACATTGCTTAGCTTCAGTTTCTTTAACAGGAAACATTTTGCCAGTTTATTAGGAATCGTTCTACAAAAGGATCATGCTGGTTATTACTCCTTGAGGGTGTCTCTGGAAGCTTTAAAGTGACATGACTATGACATGTGTCACGGGTTTGAGAGCCAGGTGAGTCAGATGATCTGGCAGAATGGGTAGGACCCAGGTCCCCTGAGAAGCTGAGCTCAGTACCAAAGGGGTGGTCTCCGAGATGAAAGACAACCATCCTATTATCAAGCATAGTCATAAGAAACTAAATGACTCAAATCTGAGTTGCAATTAATGGTTTTTGGTTTCTGTTTTGCTTTCAGTTGTTTGAATTTATGAACTTTTTGGCTGAGAACGTCATCTTCTGTTACATGGGCCTGGCGCTGTTCACCTTCCAGAACCACATTTTTAATGTTCTTTTTATCCTTGGAGCCTTTGTATCCTTTGAAATACATAACATGGTGTGATTAGAGAAAAGAACCAACTACTGGCTTTTAAAGTTTTGCCCTCAGGTTCGCTGCAAAGCTCAAAGTCAAGGCAGATACGAAATTTCCAGTTTAGAGAGAAACACATCCTAAAAACCTGGGGCGTTTATTAAAAATGTGTGGCTCAGGATAAGAAGATTGGAAAATACTGAGGGAAATAAAAAGAAAAAGCTAAAGGGATACAAAATTTTTCAAGTATTCAAAATATAGTTAGCTAAAATTTATAATTTGCTTACATAAAAATTATGGCAAGGCGCTTCTTATAAGAAAATATATCTAATTTGAATTAGGGTATATCAGAAGGCAAGCAGGATTATAAAGTTTGGAAATGTTTTTATTTAAGACAGTAAAAGTTTTTCCTAAGGAGGACTTTGAAATTAGGAGAAAGTAAGAATCTTAGCACAATAGGCATAACTTCCAACATTAGAAGCATTGTGCACTTGAAAATATATTTCAGTAAGATAGCACGTTTTCTTTCCTAGGAGGACAGATAAAACCTAGAACTCACTTTTAATGCAGACGATTTTCCTAGCTGTAGAGCTGTCAGCAGACATTCCCAGTGGAAGAGATATCTGTCCAAAGGAATACGGAGCCATGAGGAAAGTTAAGGATATCCAACAGCTGCTGCCCTTCTCCCTCCTTGGGCCACATGCAGATACTTGTAACAGCCAGGAGAGCTGGTCCCTGTCTCCGGCCCTGCTCAGCTAAGCTCTCACATGTGCCCACCAGTCTCGTTGCACTAAGCATCCAGCTGAACTTTCGATTATACCTAAAATCTAGATCTTAGAAAAAAGCTTCCTCGCCCCCAAAATTTTCATCCTACTGAGCACAAACTAAAACAGACAACCATGTATTGAGGACAACAACAACAATGAAAAGAAAAGAGGTGAATAGCACCACTGTTTTTATAGATTTTACCTATAAAACACTGATTTTAGTAAAATGCGTCTTAAAGCTGCAATTGCACTATATTTTTATACAGGCAATTCCTCTCTAAATTAAATCCACTAAAAGAAAAAGTAAGTGAGGCTTGCTAGAGACAGGCATATTACCTGATAAAGGTAAGACAGAAATTGGGAGCGGAAGTACATTTATCCTTTCCAAAGTGCCGCTGGAGAAGATATTGCCTTGCATCACAACAGTCACTGCCTCCCATTTTACCACAAAACTAGGCTGAGAGGCAAGCGTTTGCAGCATAAATGGGATGAGAAGATTCGCAGTGATTGAAATGATTTGGCTAACGATTTTAAAACAAGTATATATTCAAGGAAACGCAGCGTTTCTCTATTATTTCTGCAAAGGATTGACTGATGGATGAATTTTGGGAGCAGGGTGGATATATATACGAATTGACATGTTTATCTTTGTTGAGGACATACTATTTATGCTCACAGTCAAACCTTCATTGCAGTCTTGTTTTCCTCAATGTGTCCCTGTGCTAACCTGCAGCTAGCGATTTTTGTTGCCAGAGCCTGCAACATATACCCGCTCTCCTTCCTCCTGAATCTGGGACGCAAACAGAGGATCCCCTGGAACTTTCAGCACATGATGATGTTTTCAGGTACGTCGACTATAGATGTGTTAGTACTGCTTTTCTCTCACATTCCTACAGAACTTAGACACTCAAACCATCCAGGGAAACATAAGCTTTCTTTGCTTCACTGTACCCACCAACAAGTTTATATCCCCTTAGTAATGAGCAACAGCAGTATTTCTCTTTCAATTGCAATGTGAAATAGGTGGGAACTTGGTCAATATGGCCTCAAGGTACAGTATCTATTCAAAAATATACCTAAAATGTGCACTGGACTTTTTCCTGGCTGATGTTGGATCAATTGGTATATTGGAGAATTTGAATTATCATTTTATTTTAAATTGCATGCTCAAGGTAAATTGTGTGTAAATGGTGTCATCTTTGTTGTTCTTAGTATATCTGCTCCTTCCCTATACAAGACTCCAGAAACTTTTTGTGCTTATCACAAAAGCAAACTGGATATAAGTGTAGCTAGTTGGGAAAAAGGTTAACTAAGCACTCAGCAGGCACTCAAGAGCAGTCCTAGGTACTGTTTGATGGAACTGACAAGTAACCTGTGTTCTAATTGTTGAAACCACATCTGGAGCCCCTTTCAAAGGAAAATAAGCCAAATGAATTTGCTGACTGCTGAACAACTCTGGAGACTGGAAGGATTTTCTATTCATCAATTTTCTTCCCAGTAGTCTTTCACTGTGTAGAGCCTTGCTGCAGAAACCCTGTGCCTTTATGTGTATATACCTACAATACAATCAGAGGCAGTCTGTTGGAGGATGCATGGAAGGAAAAGAGAAAAAAATCTATCAGAACAGTGCAAACAAATAGAGAATGGAACACATAGGAACACATAGAAAAGGTAAAGGCGACTAACACTTATTGATATTTTCTATTTGCTGTTCACTATTTATCAATGCTATGAAACACATTAACACTTTTTATAGATGGGGAAACTGAAGTTTAAAATCTCAAATGAATTAAGTCACTTGGCCAAGAATGAGGTTTCCTGAACCCATATTGGTGACACTCCACATCAAACCCAACCTGGTACCTAAAAATCTACAACTTTAGAAGTAGTACTAGACACAAAAGACTTGTGTCACCTACCGTTCTATTCCAGCCTGGTCCACACATTAAACAGGGGCAGCCCCCATGTAGAGAAGGAGTCATTTTATCACACAGAGACACATGGAGATCCAAAAGTAAAATCTTCCTCCTGTAGGCCTCTGAGGGGACTTCCTGGCATTCCCAGGCATGCGAGGGTGAAAGAGACAGTGAGATTTTGGGCTGCTGAATGATCTCCAGCTTAGACAACAATGAACACTGGCAGTGAGTTAACTTTTGTTATAAGAAAGCAAAAGATAAATTTGATCAAGTGAAAGCTGGGATTAGATTGCATTTTTAAAAATATTTCAAGGAGTCAGAAAACATTTCAAGGAGTCAAAAAACATTTATGCATCCTTCTTTCCATCAAAATATCAGTAACTTTGCTCTGGGGAATAGCAGCCCATTTTCAAAACATAGATATTATATTTTAAATGTTTTTTTGACAAAAATGTTTTGAAAATAATGTAAGGTTTTAGGTGATCATATTGGGATGTTAAGTATCAGCCCAAATAACCAGCTGGCTTGATGGCTTCTCCAAGGTTGACACCATCTAATTTTTGCTTAGCTTTAGGATTCACACTGCAATAAAAACTGATAGAGTATAATATATTGTATACAAGCATAGCCAAGAGGTGTGACAAGGACCATAATTTGATGACGGTTTCATGATATTCTAAAGTACAGGGTTAGCAAACCAAATCTGGTACATTCCCCTCTCATTAGCAAAGGAACTCAGCGACATCCTTTTGTTTATGTATTGATTATGGATTTTTTTTTATTCTGCAAGAGAAGAGATGAACAGTTTCAATAGAGACTCTGCAGTTCACAAAAACTAAAATATTTACTCTCTGTTTTAAAGCATGATCACTCTGGAAAAGGGAAACATTGTTTCCATCATATTGATGGGGCAGAAATTATCACTCTAGTCCATGGGAGTGACAGTTAGTTTTCTTCATTAAAAAGTTCAGTGTGCCACATTTTCAGAACAGCTACCTACATGCAACTGTGCTGTGCAGAGAATGCCACCTATCACCTTCTCCATAAAGCATCTGTGTCATCTGTCAGGCACTGAGTAAATGTTAGCACTTTAAAGCTTAAATGCAAACATCACAGACACCATGAGGCAAAGTGAGATTTTTTTTTTAATGTGTCCACATTTTTGTTTTATACACTCTCATATTGAAATAACTCTAAACAACAAAAATTAGGTTTCTTCACTGTATTTTAATAGTCATTCTATTAAAGGTTAATAATATTAATAGCACTATTTGGAATGCAGAAAGATATTCTACTAAACAGGTGTCTTAGCTTTCAAATGACACTGCAATGTTACATAGTTATGTAATAACTCGAAAGTCAGGGCAAAGTTAAAAAAGGCTTGCTCTCTCTCTCTCTCTCTCTCTCTCTCTCTCTCTCTCTCTCTCTGTCTCTCTCTCTCTCTTTCTCCCCCATCTTTCTGTCTTTCTCCAACTCTTTTATTGTAGTTAACATGCACAAATACATATAACATAAATTTTACCACATGATTTTAAGTGTACACTTCAATACTATTAAATATATTCAGAAAATTGTGTGATTATCACTGCCCTTGTCACCACACTCCTCTTTTTTTATATAGCTAAAACTGAAACTCTAAATTTGTTAACAGTAACTCCATTCCCTCTCCTGATAGCCCCTGGTAAACATCACTCTATACTTTTTGTCTGTGATTTTTGTTGCTTTAGATGCCACATCTAAGTGAGATCATGCAGTATTTGTCATTTTGTGACGGGCCTATCATAATGTCCTCAAAGTGTATCCATGTTGTAATAATGCAATAGTACAAAATTTCTGTTTTCTAAGTGTGGATAATATATTCCTTTATATGTGTGTAACACATCCTGCTTATTCATTCCTCTCTTGACGGACACTGAGCTTCCATATTTTAGATACTATAATTCTGCTGTGAATATTAATACACGAGTATGACTTTGAAGCTTTGCTGACAACAGAAACAACTGCTGGATCATGTGGTAACTGTACCGTTTTGAGGAAATGCCCCCTGTGTTCCACAGTTGCTATACCAGTTTACATCCCCATCAATTGTGCAAAAGCGTTCCAGTCTTTCACTGGACATAGTGAGGCACACCATAATCCTCACTCAGGCTGAGGCAGGACAATCATTGCAAGTTCAAGGCCATCCTGGACTACATAGCAACATCCTGTCTCAAAAAACAAACCAAAAAGGAGCTCCACATACTCACCAAAACTTACTGTTTTCTTTTTTTGATAGTAGCCATTCTTCTGGATGTGAGGCATTATCTCATCATTGCTTCGATCTGTATCTCCTCGATCGTTAGTAATGCTGACTTGCTTTCATTGATAGCCATTTGCATGTATTTTATGAAGAAATGTCTACTCAAGTCTTTTGCCAATTTTTAAATCAATTCTTTTGTCATTTGTGATTAAGTTTTGAAATTTCTGTTTGCTAGATATCCAGTTCTTATCAGATACATTATTTGCAAATATTCTGTCCCATTTTATTGTTGCACTTATTCCTGTTTATCTTTTGATACACAAAATTTTTAAATTTCCATGTGATCTAATTTCTCTGTTTTCCTTTGTTGTGTGCACCTTTGATGTTACATACAAGAAACCACTGCCAAATTCAATGTTGTAAAGCTTTTGTCCTATGTTTCATTCAAAGAATATTACATATTTGATCCATTTTTAGTAAAGTTTTGTAACTGGTATAAGGTAAGGATCCAACTTCATTCTTTTTCATAGGGATATCTGATTTTCCCAGCATCACTTGTTGAAAAGAATGTCTTCTGCTTATCACGGGTTTTGACAACTTTGTCCAAAATGATTTGACCATCCAAGTGAGAATTTATTTCTATTGTATTCTAAGTGACTATGTGTCTGTATTCATGTCATTACTACATTGTTTTGATTATATCTTTGTAGTAGGTTTTGAAATCTGGAAGCCTGATTTCTCCATCTTTGTTTTTCTTTTTCTTTTTTTTTTTTTTTTTTTTTTTTTTGCACTGGGTATTGAATTCACAACCTCATGCTTGCCAGTCAGGCACTTGTGCCACTGAGTTAAATCCCCAGCCCCAATCTTTACTTTTCTTTTACAAGATTGTTTTGATTGTTTGGGAGTCCATTGAGACTTCATATGAATTTCTTATTTCTGCAAAATAGCCAATAAATATTGGCATTTTGATGAGGATTTCCATTAGGTATTACTGATATCCTAATAGCAATAAATCTTACAACCCATGAATATGAGAAGAATTTCTATTTATGTCTTCTTTAATTTCTGGCAGTAACATTTTGTAGTTTTCATCATACAAGTCTCCTCTCAACCTCATTAAGTTAATTCCTAAGTTTCTATGCCATTGTAAATGGACTTATTTTTATAATTTCCTCTTCAGATAATTCATTATTAATATATTGAATTACCACTGACTTTTGTGTATTATATTTATATCTTGTTGCCTACTGAGTTTATTTTAATAGTTTTAAGGTTTTTTTGTATATTTTTCTTGAATCTATTGGGATTTATATATATATATATAAAGAGATTGTTTTACTTCTTACTTTTCTATTTGAATGCCTTTTCTTTTTATTTCTTTTTTTCTCTCTCTTGTATTCTAATTGCTCTAGCTAGAACTTACAATACTATGTTGAACACCAGTGTTGAGAGTGGACATCCTTAATTCATTCCTGATGTCCTGATCTTAGAGGAAAGATCTTCAGCTTTTCACCATTGAATTTATTTGTTTTAGGTTTTTTTTTTTTTAATAACTGGATGTTACTAAATTGAGATAGTTCTTCTTCTATTCCTAGCTTGTTGTGTTTTGGGGAAAGGCATTAAATTTTGTTAGGTACTTTTTCTGTATCAGTTGAGATAATCACATGGAGATTTTCCTTCATTCTGTTAT